ATCATTGAAGACTGTTTATTTCTGGATAAATGAGTTTAAACATGTCTGAAAATGCACTGAAGATAAAGTGCACTCTGGATCCATTTGAGGTATCAGAAATCATTGAAAAAATCCACAGTATCATTACAGAAGACTGCCAAGTAAAAATTTATGAGATTGTTGAGACTGTATGTATCTCAACTGAACAAGTGCACAATATTCTGCATGAAAAATTGTAGATGAAAAAGCTGTGTACACAATGGGCACCATGATTGTTAACTGTTGACCAAGTGAAAGGACATTTCAACTGTGTTTGGTGATGTTTAACCATAATCCACAGGACTTTTGCATCAATTTGTGATTGTGGGTGAAACATGGATTCACCACCATAAACCTGAGACGAAGCAACAGTCAAAGCAGGACAATGAGTGAAAGTGCATTGAAGAAGGTGAATCAGCTGGGAAGGTGATTCTCAAGGAATCATCCTGGTTAACTACTTGGAGAAAGCAAAAACAATAACAGGAGCCTATTATGAAACATTATTAGACTATTTGAAAGAAGAGTGGAAACAAAAATGCCAAGATTGGTGCACACAAAAGTGCTTTTTCACCAAGAAAATGTGCCATCCCACAAATCAACAGTTGCAATAGCGAAATTGCATGGATTATGCTTTAAATTAATTTCTCATTCACCCTGTTCTCCAGACTTGACCTCATCATACTTCTTCCTGTTCCCAAGCTTAAAAATTTGGTGTGATGGAAATAAATTATCCTCAAATAAAGATGCCATTGCTGTAATCAATGTGTATTTTGCAGACCTTGACAAAAGCTGCTTTTCTGATGGGATAAAAAAATTGGAACTAACTGGACCAAGTGTAAGGCTCTCAACGGAGATTATGTTGAAAAATAAAATTGATTTTTTTCCAAAAATCTGTGTTTAACTTGTTTTTTTACCATACTTATCAAATAAGTTTGATAAATATTTTTGAAGAATAATGCATTTTTTCATCTTAATTATTAATGGGATATTTTGCAGCAGCAAACTGTAAGAAACACAGTTTGGCTTCCTTCTTACAATTCTTCAAAACCAATTTTTGATAATTTTGGATGGCGTTGCCAATAATGGCAACTCCAACCAAAATTATTGAAAATTGGTTTTGAAGAATTGTAAAAAACACATCATCATGAGGGATGACTTCTTTTCTCACCCAGGCTGTGGAGTTGGAGTCGTGGAGTTTTGGTGTTTTAGCCGGAGTCAGAGTCGTCAAAAAATCCGTCAACTCCGACTCCTTTTTACTTACCAACTTATGTATATAAAATGAAAAAGTATTGGAATTGTGTCAAATTTGACCCTCCAAGTTTTTTTTGCAAATCTACATGTTTGGAGACCTCCCGAACCCCTCAAAAAAGTCAAAAAAAGGGAAAAAATTCGAGCGCATGTGTGTTGGCTTTGTTTAATTTATTTATTTTCTGTTCTGAGATATTAAACAATATCTCAGAATCGGTAAAGTTTAAAAAAACGAAATGTGGCACTGTAGCTTGCATATAAAGGGGCATTAATACTATTAAATTTTGGTTCTTAATTAAAGATTGACAAGGTGAAGACATAAAACTGGTCATGTGTCATATCTCTTAATGAATATTTTACTTGTTATTAGCGTTCAAAATTTAAAAAAATAAAATAAAACTCGTCTCTACCCTCAAAGTAAGCTTTTTTGGAATTTTATAATAGTACAGTAAAACCCATTAAGATGTTCTCACCTAAGAAGTTAGAATGTCTATAGGGGCATGATTTAATTCAACCACTTTGACACTTAATAACTAACTCTTGTGTTAAACCATCTGATTCCGATTCTGACTACTCTGACCACAGAAATTATTAGGCTTCAAACAGGGTGAACAAAATCATGCTCCACACACACAGTCTAACATCCACACATATAGAAAAAATTTCGAATCTTTTGCTTAATTAACTCAAAATTTCAAGAAGTCCAAAAGTGTAAAAATTTCAGAGGAGTCATTTTTTGACTGAGCGCTACACTTTCCCTCTGTTGTATATAACAACCAGAAAAGTAAAAATTATCGAATACATATTTATATTACTTAGAGGAGTCTTTTAGCTTTGAAATAAAAAGTTTCTATGTTTTATCTTTATTAGAACTCTATTTATTGAATCTTTTATTCTGAGGTCACGTGATTACATCAGAATTTCTGGATCTCTTTCGGTAACAAGTCCGCCCCTGGTTGGAGTTGGAGTTGGTAGATTTTTACGTGACTCCACAGACCTGTTTCTCACTGATAAAGAAAGGTCAGATGGGTGCAAAATTATAGGAGAGACATGTGGCAACCAACTCTGCATTCCAAACTGTGTGAGATTAATATAAAATGAAAAGAAATTAGTAAATAAACATTCAGTTTTAGGAAAAGTAAAACTGAATGTTTATTTACTAATTTCTTTTCATTTTATACTAATTTGACACTTAACAGAGACAAAAATGTGACTCCACTCATAATAATAATAATAACAGTATTGGAAAACAACATGCACAAAATATACTACAACAGAGCCATAATCACAGATAAAAAAATTTGCCACAACAGACCAGACATCACACTCGTTGACAAACACAATAAAATCACATACATTATAGACATATCCATTCCAAACACTCACAATATACAAAACATATTCACTAAAAAATTAGTAAGTACACAGAACTCGCCCAGGAAATAAGGCATCTGTGGAGGATGGAAAGGGTTCTAGTTCATAGTTTAATCTAGATTGTTCTGGACTTCTCAGCACAGCCTAGCTTTAGTCCCAATATGGTGGAAGCATTGGAAACATTGCTGTTCTTGGTGTTCTGACCATATGTCTATAGATCTTGAGTCTAATAAATACATTATACAGTAGTAATTTAAATAGTACGGTGGGTGATCGGTTAATGAACAAATCAGATAACGAACACATTTGCAAAAGATTTTTATGTTTGGACAACGAATACCTCACAGAACAAACACAAGAAGAAGCAATTTAAAATAATGAATACCAATTGATCTTCCCTTGTCTTCAGGCAACAATTCAAAACTTTTCAGAGCGCAGGAGACGTTGATGTGGGTAGACCCTGGTAGACCCTGAGGTAGGATGAAGTCATACCTCTTTTTGTTGGCAACAGTTTTGTGAAAACTGCCCACAGGTCAGTGGATGGCTTGTCTATGTTTTTCTATCCCGAAAAGTCGGGATTCTTTTGTCAGGTCGAGTGGAGGAGGTGAGAGGGGTCGTCGGTAAGACGTTGGCGATATTCAAGTAAAAGACACCATTTAAGAACAAAATAAGAATATATTGGATAATAGCTTAGATAACATAACTAACATCGAGATTCTATCGACCTTACACTCAGAAGTGAATGGGTGTGCGCCGAGAGAGAGTTTACAATATTCGTTATCATACCTCTAGGATTTAGGTTAACTGATGTAACCTAACTGATGATTTTAGGATTTTAACTGATGTAACAGAGATGGACATCTTTCTCTATGGACGGCAACATTGGACATGGATGACAGATGGCAATCATGGAAGGTGACGACGGACCACAATTATGAATGGCGATTGGCAATGATGGACCCCCTTCTTCCGTCATCATCCCCCTTTTATATCTCAAGTCACGTTATCGTTTTTCACCAATTGCAGATTTTTTTTGATAAGTTCCCTGTGACTCATTCTCGTGTTCCGGAGAGAAGGGAAATGGCTCTGGGGAAGGAAATGTGTTCATCCGTTGGTTATAAGATTTCGACAAGATTTTGAAGAAAGGAAAAATTGAGGGTTTCTTTGTAAATAAAGTGATTCTTTATTTTTATGGTTTTTGTTTAATTTTATTCGGTTCGACCCTCAGATCAATGTTGATGCTCAACCCGTATAAACTGATTAGACAATATTCTCCAAACTTTGAAACTCTACCTTGTAATTCCAACCTTTTATTTTTCTGACAGAAAGAATTTTTTTTATAGTATTTGCGAGACTGTCGGGTGGGCACTCATTAAGTTTTGTGTTGTTTTTATTTTCAAAAGGTGAGAGTATAATAGCAAAAGTAGAGAGTGGGCAGAAGATTCTGATGTTGCTGGGCAGTATGGCTTGAACAGGTCTACAGTAGGCCACAGTTCAATCTTAGCTAAGAAAGATACAATATAATCAAGAAGACTCAAGCAGCTAAGAGAGTAACAAAAATCACATCTGAGAAATAAAGAACATTGAAGAGCTCATAGTAGAACCTGAAACGGATCTGAGGACAGAAGAATGCCAAGAACTCTTAAATGAAGAACACCAAGAAACTCAGCAAGATATGTTTTCTTCTGAAAAAGAGTATTAATGCCAATATTTGCTATTAAAGATCTTTTGAAGAAGTGGGAGGATGTCAGAACAACGGTTTTAGAATGGCATCCAAACCAGGTTGAGGCTTAGATATCTCTACAATTACAATGTTATTAATTACTTCTGAATAATCCTGAAGAAGAGAGAAAAGCAATTGACATTAGACAGATTCTTTAACCCCCACAAATGGAAAAACTATGACTAATAAAAATGCAAGACTGTGTATATATGTATTTTTATTACTACATATCAATAAACGTAGTAAGAAAGTATATATTTTTTTGTTTTTTGGAGTTTCCAGAATGAATTAATCAAATTCTCATAAAAACCTATGGTAAATTGATAATCTGTTAACGAACAATTCAGATAGTGAACAAAGTCTTGGAATAGATTATGCTCGTTAACCGATCACCCACTGTATATTTAATTTTATATAATTTAAAATAATGTAATTTATTTTCCTTAATTTTATTTATATATTTTTCCTTTGTGTATTAATTAAATAATATAAACTGTCACAGAATGTTTAACTTCTTTTTAAAATTCTTTTAAAATTATAATTTAAAAATACAGATTATGTTCTTAGTTGGCATTGTTTCAAAAATAATTATTATTTTGCATTAATTAATAAAAGTTGTTAATTTAAATCATTTTAGATAATTGTTTCATCATGAGAAACATAGATACTTGGAAAAATCAGTTGATGGACTGGGTTGCTGATAGGCCATGGGAGTTCCTACTTTATATTCTTGTTAGTCTTTCTCCCTTCTTTATTGCAAGTCTAGTATTATCTATGAAGCTGTCTAAAGAATTAGCCATTACTAATCGAAAGTTAGAGAGTAAACGTTATGCTGATCTCCGGGATGAAGACGAAGAAAAATTCAAAATAGACTAATTATTTAAAAACAGTGCAAATGTACAGATTTAGAAGACACGCTCATACATATTTTTAATGCACAAAAAAATTATCGTCATGTATCTGAAGATCACCTAGTCAATATAAATTTTTAAATTAATTGATGTTTCAGAAAAAAATCAGAGAATTCATAAAAAGTTAAGTGAAGAAATAGTTTTATGGTTTCATATTTGATATATTTTTTAATTGTTTTATATATAAAATCAAAACATCAATTATTCATCTTGATAATTATAAAACTGAATATTTTCATTAGTTAGCTAATGAAAACTTCAAAATTACATAAAAAACAAAGTTTAATAAATGAAGTTCAAAATTATACTAATTTTATGATGTAAATCATAATTATTTGTTAAAATTCAGACAAATTCAGAAAGGGAAAAAAGGAAGAAACAGTTCTGCTATTACATAATATTTGACTATTTGAAATGTCAAGTTAATTTTATTTCAAAAAAATATCAAATATTCTTCTTGTAGACACTTTTAGAACTCTGATTCATAATATATATTGTAATGTGTTTTAATCTTTTATGCATTTAACCACATTTTTATAATGCACATTTATATCATATTTAATGTTATAAACATATATTCAATTCATATAACATAGAGAACAGCATTAAAGTCATGTTAATGCATATTTTTTATGGTTAATATTCCCATCAGAAATAAAAATTAGAATTTTAATGATTTTCTGTGTACAGGTAACCCCCGTATAACACGGAACTTCTATAGCACGGATTCACTCTAACACGGTTCGAGAATTGGTACCATCCCCTGTATAACACGGTACTTTTATAGCACGGATTCACTCTGACACGGTTCGAGAATTGGGTAAAACCCTCGTACAACAGGAAATGTAATAAATTTTTACATACTTAAGTAATAATAGTTCACGAAAATTATTATTTTCGTGAACTATTAGTACTTAAGTATGTAAATTTTCTCTTCTCGCCTTCTGTCGATACACGTGGTCCTTCTCGAAACTTGTTTCAATGTTGCCAGATCGCGACGCTTCTGCTTCTGATGTTGCCGAATGTTTTTCCCTTATTCCATACTTGCTTTATTCTTCATAAGTGCTTAGCACCATATAAGGAAATTTATAAAGACCTTTTAACTAGAAGCAAGCAATCTAAAATTACATACATTTTGCAAAAGGTAAAGCATGGATCTGAAGATAATGCAGAAAAATGCTCAGAGGATAAGGATAACTTGCCAAAAAGAAAACGCTCTCGGTTAATTAATAGTGTTTTTAGTGATGACGAAGAAAATATTGTTTAATTTATATTAATATGTATCACTTAAAAATTTTAATGAAGATATTTATCTTTATGAAAATATACTAGCATGTTTTTTAATTTTTGGAACCTAACCCTCATTTTCGTATTAGTTCTTTGTTTCGTATAACACGGATTCGCATAACACGGCAATTTTTTGGAACGTAACTACTGTGTTATACGGGGGTTACCTGTATTACATTTTAAATAACAAAAAAAAAAAATTTTAATTCTGAGATACAGTTTGTTGTTGTTAGGATTAATTTCAAATTTCATTTGATTCTATTGTCATGTTTGTAAATGATTTCACATTATTTCAATTTTTAATTCATAAATTACCTATAACAAGATGCCCAAAAATCATTTAACCGTAGTCTGTGCAAACATCTCAACAATTTTACAAGTCAGCAATTTGTGAGTGTGTCAAAACTTTTTAATTTGTGTATTGAACAAGGACTATCACATTTTATATAATTGTTGCAAAGTTTGTAAGTAATAAAATATTTTGAAGATATCAGCACCCTATACTTTATAATGGTTAACTGACTTTTGGACCATGCTATATATGTTAATAGTTTCTATTTTAGAAATAGAGTTAATAGAGTTCTATTTTAGAAAATGTTGTAATCAAGTTAATTTTATTGCATTCAAAGTTATCTTGTTAATAGCTATTTTAGTATATTAAACACACACAACCATTCCAGAAATAAACCATATGATATGTTTATTCTAGAGAAATTCTTGATTTATTCATGTATTGCTTATAAAGCATATTTATTTTTTATTCTGAAATGTTCACATTTTTTATCAGCATTGTTTATACTTGTTTATTTTTAAATTTCTCCTATAATTTTATCTTTATTGTTTAAAGCATGCAAAATATTCATTTGCAGTTAGTGTGACAATATATTTTACCTAACCATTACAGTATTATAAAATGTAAATTTTTTGTTTAGTAGTGCCATATAAAAGCACTAATTATTTAAAATTTGATTTTAAAATAGCTTAGAATAATTGTTTAATTTGTATGTCTTTATAGATTCCTATTTTGCTTAGTATAATAAATTTGTATAAAATTATATTATGAAGTAAAATAACATTCCACTAAAAATGAATGATGCTATTGGTTGTTTTTTTTAATATTTATAATTATATAAAATTACAAATTTATAAGTGCCAATTTATTATGTACAAAACAGTTTCATATAACATTCTGCATGTAAGACAAAAGAATCTGTAAATTTGTTGATATTTTGCCTTATAAAATGTTAGCAATATTATTTTAACATCTTAAAAATATATTATTTCTTTTCAAATAAAATATTTTAAGACACGTCAATTGTGTAAGCTTATAAAGCACAAATAAAGACTTTTTCAAATATATAATTTGTTCAGTAATTTTGTTCAATTGAAAAACACTTCAAAGTCAGTTATTTTTATAATAAAATCCATCAATATTGCACTATTCTCATAAAGCAATGCATACTTTGTACTAATCTTTCCATAAATTTTAGAGAATTCTTTAGTAAGTTGTTATAATATATATTCATAATAACTTAGTGAAAGATTCTCTAATATTTATGAAAAAGGTCAGTACAAAGCTCAGTATGTAGTATGCATCACTTTATGAGAGTAGTAATAGTATATTGAGATATTTACTGTATTAGTGTTATTTCCATGTCTAGCTCATAGCGTATCATCACAAGCTTATGCATCATTCAGATTGATTAATACTTCTAAGTCCCAGCAGAATCCAAAAGTTGTGTTGTTCATTTAAACAATAGCCTTTGCAATGTTGAAATTACAGGTTATTTCTTTTCATTTGTTGATATTTTCTGTTAAAATGCATGATTGTAAAATTATTATTCTTGTGGACAAAATACATTGCAAGCATATTCATGATGATAAAGGAGGAAACAAAGTGGATAATGCTTATGATGGTTCTTCAGTAGCTAGTGTTTCTGTATTTGTTAATCGTAGTTTACTTACTGTATGGCATTTAAAGATGCCTATAACTTATATTTCACTTTAAAAGTATACAAACTGTAGCACTTCACAGTGTTCTTAATTTAAAATAATACAATTATATGTTTAGAAAATGTTAACAGAAAATGAATCTCTTTACTTAGCATAATAAGTTTAATTGCTACATTAATCTTGTGAATAATAATCATTCATTTTTATTTTTTTTATCATTGATGGTGTACAATACAAGTTTGCGGTTAAAGTAGCCTACTTAATGATATAGTATTTCATCAACTTATGGATTAAGTGATACAGTTAATACTAAGATACTGCAACTAATCCTAAACTGGTGGAATCTCATAATTGTACGGACTTCTATGATAGATAAACGACTGATATGCGAATTCCAAAAACCACTAAGACCTAGCCATAAAAATATTGAATTTCTTAAAAAATTTTATTGACTGAAGCAATGGTAAACTATTCGAGTCGGGTTTTCTTATAAAATAAACATTTGTTTTGCATTAACAGTTAACTCGCTAATAGGTGGTTTACTTGTTTTAAAATCTTTTTAAACTCTTCGCCCTGTGGGCACTTTTTCACTCTGAATCCATCGTGGGTTTGGCCAAGCCCGCAATAGGAGCAACCGGGTGATGAGAGACGGCCAACATATCTGGGAAATATTCATGAAAAATTCGGGGTTTTTCGACCGAGGCGGTTAAGGTTGACACCTTAAACTGGATTCACATTAGCACTGCCGGTGCCAGTTTTGACAGTCCAAAAAAAAAAAAAAAAAAACCGGTTATTTGTCGGGTATACGCCGTTCCGGCAAAATAAATAAGTGCACTTCGACCAACTGCCGTCGAACGTTATACTGTATAGCCAATAGAGAGGTTTCAAGTCGACATCACCAGTGACGTCATGAGCATGCACAATTGTCCGGTGCCATTTTTGTGGTTTGTTTACGCGCACTTAAAGCAGGAGTTCTTGTGTTGTTTATTCGTCGCAAATATCACTACGGTGAATTGTTGTGTAGTGCTAGTTCCTCAAGAACAAAGAAACGTCATTTTTTTTAAAAATTCCTGGCATTATTTGTCATCAAGGACCCCAAACTGCGGAGCTTTCACCACGAAGGTAATTTGCATAGCTCTGAAGAATTAACCAGAAAAATTTTAATTCGGATAAAGTGAATATCAATGATAGAGTTTGTCAGAAACATTTCATTTCAGGTAAGCAATAACATTTGATTACTAGTTAACAATAAATGATTAGATAAACTTTTGTATGAGTATCATAAAATGTGTACGAACCGATTGCATAAATCCCTTTGTTAATGCCGACAAAATAAACTTAAATAATTTTCACAACCACAAATTTTAGTTTGAATAGATTATGATTGTGTTTTAACTTTGTTTTTCACCTTTTAGTTTGTTTTCTTAGTCTTTAATATTAACTCTACTGCATATTTATTACAAGCAAAGTGTTAAGCAAAGTTAATCGCTTAGCAGATGAAGAATTAGAAGTGAATTTGAAGCAATTGTCTTTCCAGTCTAATTTACATAAATAAAAGCGTGTGTATCAGTGGTGTGCCGTCCGTGGAAGCTGTGAAAGCACCACTTCCCTTGTTTCATCAATAGTATTTATATTTTCTAAAATATAAATACTATTGTGCGATTATTTTCATATTTTAACGTATTTTGAATTACTTAAAATTACGGTAATATTTTATTATAACCTCATTATGTATCTTATTACAAATTTCTATACTACATGTGAAAAAAGATAAGATTGCTATTATATATTCGAATATAAATTCGTATATGCGTATTCCGAATGGAAGCGTTGTATTGTCGAATACGGAATAGCTTCCACGGCCAAAATATTTGAATGGTGTAAAGCAACCAGATTATACACATTCGCTCATGCGCTTTACAGAGCG